AAGTTGGAAGGAAAGCGCAAGTCAGCAGAGTGTCTGTTGACTTGCAATTGTACCTTCCGATTTCCTTCCGATCCGTTGCTAACGGAAGGTCATCGAAAAAACGAATGGGTGTTAATGGAGCTAGTTCACACCGGATTCGTTGTGTTATGTTGCAATGAAAAAACTTAGTGCATGTTCTACTTTTTTTTCAGCACAACATAATGCAACGTAACAGAACGGTGTGAACTAGCCCCATTCACACCCATAGCTCGAGAACTGAGCGATCACAAACCTCTGATTTGTCACGGCTTTTCCCTGCAGAGCGGTGACTGTCAGTCACTGCTCCCAGCAGGGACTCCCCCCTTCTCTCTCTCTCTCTGTTTGTTCAGTGCTTATTGGAGGGACAGATGGGGAGGGGCAGGCACAGCTGGCTCTGGCTTTAGAGAAGAAGAGCCAGCTGTCACTCCGGCAGCGGGGTGGATCCCGACAATATTGTTGGGATCTTTCCCGGCTGCAGCACTGCTCTGTGCTGTCATTATATAGTAGGCAGTAGACTGCTATGTGCTGACTTTGAGTCATAAGAGTACATTTATCCAAAAGAGAACTATAGCCAAATAAAAGGTTTCAGCTGTAGTTCTCTTTTAACATTCTTGTTAGAATGATACTAGGGCTAGCCAGTCGCCTGTAGGTGTGGAATGGTGACACAAGACAGCTGGCTATGGAGCCAACTAGTATAAATGTGATCAGAGGCATATTCAAGAGGGTTACGTGTATTATTTATTTATGTGTACAATGGGCTAATTCCATATATGTTTACATATGTTTTTTTAATGTGTGGTATTTTTTTTAAATGAATTGATTAAGAATTTGCGGGGTAGATGACTGCTATTAGAAATAGGAGTTTGTGAGATGCAATGCTGCAACCAATGATATTTTTTCATTTCTCAATGTGTTCTCTGTAAACATTTCAAGACTATTAGTGTACATTTCCCAGCTACAGGTCTTTGACACTGTGTATCAGAATGCTTCCTCTCATAGTACACTGCTCCGAGTCATGGAAAGTTTTGACTTCTTCTCAAAGGCTGTTAGGAAATTAAATTGTAGGCATGTTCAGGCTATGGCTCTCTAAAGAGACACCCTATGCTCTCTTATTCCATATTTAAAGTTTCCCTGTAGCTATACAAAATTTTCATAGTGAAGCCCTATTTGTAAAAAAAAAAAACAATGTATATGCTCCTTTTCTGCTGCCTGCACCCATGTTGGACTGCTAGTCCGATCTTGAATAATGCTCCTCTAAAGTCTGTAAGGAAAATTATATTTGGAGACTGAACCAGTGCGGGGGACCCAGGAGATGGACACTACTGGAAGCTTTAGTTTCCCAGGCGACTTTGGGGGACAATTTCTTAGAATGACCAGCGTTCAGCAGTGTGGGCAGCAGAAAAGAAAAATGTACATTGTTCTTTTACAGGTATGGCTTCACTGTAAATATTTTACATAGGGACAGGGTCCTTCTAAATAGAGGTGACTAATCTTGGTGCATTAGACATGGAAATATATTAGGCATCACATTTCATATAAGCACACATGATGTATCATACTAAATTAGATGTAACACAAGAGCCGTATGAAAAACAAAATAAATTCTGTTTAACAATGTTAGCTGAGGGAATTTTTAATTTAGTAATGTTCTATATTTTGTGTGTATGTCTCCGTAACCACAGCCAAATCTGACAAACCCAATTAAAAATACTCATTCACAGAGAAATACCTATTTTTGTTTGTAGACTTGAAGAGTTTTTAGCATAGTTCCCATGTGTAACTAGACGCTATATAATGGATAATTATTAGTCACATACTGTATATATATATATAGTGTGTGTGTGTGTGTGTGTGTGTGTGTGTGTATATGCATATATATGTATATATATATATATATATACTGTATATGTGTGTGTGTGTTTGTGTGTGTGTGTGATAACCGGTTTAAAAAAGTTGTTTGAATGCATTTACAATGAAAACAGAAAATACAACACAGTATTATTATTAGTACATAAATAAACAATGTTGGTTTTTGTCACATGGGTACAAAATTCTCACAGAAACATTACTAAAATTGCTTAAATATTACTTTGTTTAGTCTCTTTTTCAGCAATAACATCTTGAACAGACACCATTATGGTTTTATTGAAAAAAAAAGTGAAACGACAATTGATGTTAATAAAGCTTAAAGTGATTTAAAAAAAAAGCCAAAAGACAACTGAGGAATAAAACACACACACTCAGTGATGACTTTTTGCGGGTGTTTATCTAAAGCTAAAACAAATTTAAAATGTATCCGTTCTGTGAAACTAAATGGAAAAAACCACACAACTTCCGAGAACCCTTGTAAAAAAATTACAGTTTCATAACGACTTCTCATTTCCTTTTAACATGTGTGGTAGCAAGAAGAAAAAAATACATACTAGTAGATCGCTTGTATGTAAACAGGCATTGCTGCCTGTTTTTAAGTTTTGGCACTTTCCTGCTCGCAACCGTGGCTGACAAGGCTTAAACGCCCGCTCAGATCCAGGGAGCTCCCGGCCGGCCTTTGTAATAAAACAGTGCATATACAGGTGAAACTCGAATAATTAGAATATCGTGCAAAGTTCATTTATTTCACTAATGCAACTTAAAAGGTGAAACTAATATATGAGATAGACTCATTACATGCAAAGCAAGATAATTCAAGCCGTGATTTGTCATAATTGTGATGATTATGACTTACAGCTCATGAAAACTCCAAGAACCCCAAATCCACAACCTCAAAAAAGTAGATTATTACATGCAATCAATAAAACAAGGATTGTACATAGAACAATATCGGACCTCTGAAAAGTATAAGCATGCATATGTACTCAGTACTTGGTTTGGGCCCCTTTTGCAGAACTTACTGCAATTACTTTTGCACGATATTCTAATTATTCGAGTTTCACCTGTATACCCCCCCCCCATTTTTTGTTTTTGTTTTGGGTAGAGTAGGGAAGGGTTAAAACCTTTGTTAGTTTATTTTTTGTAGTCTGTGTACTGTTGGGGGACATCTACTTTCACCTCCTGTACCAATGACGGAAAAGGAAGATAGAGGAAATCAGCCAAAGGGGAATTCCCCTCTGAGGCAGTTGTGCCTGAAACAAGTGTCCCCATTGGAAAATGTTTCCCTTACCTTCTGTTCTGGGGACAACACTAACATTTTTGCATTTTCACTCACTTTCTTTCTGAGTGACATTGGTCACCAATACAAATAGAGGGGTGAATCTCCCCAATGGGGACATAAACAACAATAAAAATGTAAAGTGACGCAGGGGTTAAATCCCCAAAAATGCATTCAGCTACCCTAATTATTAACAAAAATTGATCTTATTTGTGTAACACTCATCTCTGAATTAATGCTGACACTGTCCTTCCTTCTGGAGGGTGGCTCCACAACTCACTCCCGTGATCAACAATAATCATTAGTAAACTAACTATGAGATTGTAGTCCATCATGGGAGTGAGTTTGGAGTGGTGGCTACTTTACAACACACACAGAGCCATGGGGAAACAAAAGTAGCCAAGCTCCAAAAGGAAGAGCAGAGTCAGCACAAATTCAGAGATGATTTGAGGATCTACAGCTGAGTGATACAGAAATATCTGTATCACTATTTGCAAACCCAGTTATTACCTTGTTAAAGGAGTAAGTGCCATCACCAATGTGCTGCACATAACCTGTGCAAAGAGCAGAGCTCAGTGAGGGACCCAGCAGACCTCACTGCAGGCTGCCTGCAGAAAACTACATACAGGGGGGCGGATACCAGACTGGTCTCCCTGCATAAGTAGAGAGAGCAGCAGTGACCAGTCTTGCATAGAGGCTCTTGCATAGAGGCAAAGTTTCATGGTATAAAAATGCACAGAACAGCACAAAGTACTCTACTACAAGATTCAAATAAGAATACACATACCTGTTGTACTTAGACAGTATTTGCTTATCCAGGAGGTCAGTTACATTGTTCCTTCTCCTGCACGTCAATGGATGTTTAAAGCAAACCGCACATGATTTTCAGGTGTTCAGCAGACTGGCAGGATCTTCTCAATAACCTTTGCTGTTAAGCTGCTTTAATCAGTGCTTATTTCTAAATAATAGCTTTTGACACTATGGCACAAATTTCTGTATTATATTCTACCTCCTGATCTAATTTTCTACAAGTGTCAAGTGATTATGGAAATTAGAAATATTGGAACATTAGAATAATCTGTGCATATGGATCAATTATAACACCAATAGGTTAAAAGCTGCTACACAAAATAGCTTCAACGCTTTTAGATAACCTTTTAAAAAACTGTACAGCACTAAAAACCTCTCAATAGGAGTTGAATCAAAGTGACAACATAAGTAAAAAACAGTGCAAAAAAGTGAAAATAGTAGTATATACAGGACTGAAATAAACATAAAAATTTAAATAATCAATCAAAAGACAGTCCAATTCCAATCAGTGAAAATCAGAAAACTTTTCCAAGTGAAGAAAAGAAAATTCTTTCCAAATCCAATACAGTGTGAAAACACCAAATTCGTGTTCCAAAAATTTCGTGTTCCAATATGTGTAGTGGTTTCCTCGTGCCAAATCACCCCCCGATGAATATGCACTCACCCCAAATGCTGACTGTTAACTGACAGCCAGCTAGCGCCTTAGTATCAAACAACCCTCAGCATCCTCCTTCCTCATACTCCCTTCGTTGATAAGCGCTCATCTCAGATAATCCAGTAAAGATAAATAGAAACCATACAAGTCCATAGTTGGCAGCATCAAAGTTGCACCAATTGACAGCAGGTGAAGATGTCAGTCTGCATTTGAGCAAAACCTTTCACTATCATTGGCCTTTTCATCCTTTATGAATACCGTGTCATTAGCAGATGCTTCTTACTTGACTGAAATAAAGTTTTTATTAAACTAGAGTTTATGATTTTTTGATTTACATTTTGTAATTTTATCTTTTTTTTTCCCTTGTAGGCTGCTTCTGATATCAGTCTCTCTACTGTCTATCTATTCTATAAACCTTCTACTAAAATGTTCCCAGGAAACAGGTACCGTTTAGTCCTTCACCTGTACCATACAAATTCCATGTTTATAGTGAATGGCACAGTTGTTGTTAAGTAAACTTTGAATGTTATATTTACTACTTGTAATTATATGTTGAGGTATAAATAATGCAGGCGTAGAGTTATATAAGAACGCCATTTACACAGCAGAAAAGGGTTCTTTCAGCATTTTCTTCAATACCAGTACAATTTTGTGGATGTTTCATTGCTCTTGTGAAATTCTGAACATCAGCAGTCCGGAGCTCACTTCAAAATTTAAGGGTAAATAAAAAATAGACAGTTCTCCTGGGGATGTTCATAAGAAAAAATGGTTTACTGGTGTTTAAAGCTGAAGTCAGGGGTGTGGAAATTTTGGAAAAAAACTACTTGTCCAAGGACTAAAGGGAGGGGGGGGGCCCGATCTACTTGTCCCTCATGGAAATCTACTTGTCCCAATACAAATTTTTTTTATTTTAACCAAAACCGTATTTAGCAGTGCCAAGAAGAGCTTCTCATTGTTCAGTGCCGTCAGGTGACCGCGCTGACCAATGAGTGCTTCAATTTTGCGAGCGAAATTCAGAATACATGGCACAGGTACAGATAGTACACCCATACTGGCGGATGGAAAGGACCGTTTGCTGAAAGGTAAGCATAGTGGGGGGGCGGGGATTTGAGCAGGTAATTCAATTTTCCCAAATTACTTGGGAAAGTAAATTTACCCTTTGGGCCGGGTGCAGACTTGGGCGACCGTGTGTGGTTGCCACACGGCCCCCTTGATTTCAATGGGGTTACATCTGCGTGGTAATCGCTGAAAAAAGGTACATGTACCTTTTTTCGTGACACACACCGTGCTGTGTTTTCAACCACGATTATGTGCGGGCGTTATTGCGGCGGGAAACTGCGCAATCTGCCTGGGCGACTGGGGTGCCATTAGACAATAATGGCACTGCCATCGCGATCGGCGGTGGTGTGTGATTCTGTGACCGCCCGGCCACCCACACGGTTTTGTGCACGATTGCCGTGCGGTAACGGATTGCCCACTCTGCTCACACAATGCCTCATGCATGCATTTATTCGCATGCAGATGATAGGGGTTGGTTTTAATTTTTAAGATTTTATTTTACTTTTTTTATTTTTGCTTTGTAATATTTTTTCTTTTTATCATTTATTTTTATTATTTTTTACTTTATCGCTTTTTTATTTTTCCCATTTGTATGTATTTACATTTTTAATTGTTATATATATTATTTTTTTTCTCACTTTATTGCTATCACACAAGGGGTAACAAGCCTTTGTGTGAAAGCTTTTGGAGGTGACAGGTTCTCTTTATTGACCCTATCACCTCCAACACAGGAGTTCTAGCACAGCACTGTGCTCATTCTCCTGTGACAGGAAGGCTGCATTCCTGTGTCACTTCACACGAAGCAGAGAAGCGTTCTCTACTCTGCCGTGTGCTATCTAACCTAATTTGCCATGGTCACTGATCCCCCACAAGAGGGAAGCCCACGTGCAGAGAGAGAGGCAGCTGGGAGCGGTACCCGGCCGGCCCCCGGAGATAGAGAGAGGGGAGGGGGAGCGTGATTCAGGCAGGTTACAAGTGATTTTGGACTAGTAGAAAACGGCTCCCACACTACATTTATCTGGCTGCTTGCCCGCAGCCGGGCTAAATGTAGAAAAAAACTACTCGCCCGGCGCCCGAAACTGCCTGCCCCGGGCATCGGGCGATAGGAATTCCACACCCCTGGGCTTATATGTTGCCTTCCAAGGTTCCTCCCTTCCTCCTCATCAGAATGCTAATTAAATTTTCAAATAAATCCTTTTCTGTTTTTATTACATTTTATAGATCCGGTAATATCATCACTGCTTCTTTGTGCTTCTTTATACAATGCAGACAGATCATGGCTGGTGGCAGAGGCCAGCAGAGTGCTGTACATAGTGTCCTGAACACAGCACAGCATCTTGCCTCAGTACTCTCAAGAGCCCTCAGCCCTTTTAAAGAAGTGGGAGGAGTTATGCAAATATCCTGGTAGGCAGATGCCAGTCTAGAGGAGTGGCTGTGCATAAGCAGGCTACATTTGCAAGCAGACTGCCCTAGGTAATGCCCACCAGGCAAATCCCACCAGGCCTTTGCCTCTAGAAGTTATGCCTATAGCTGTCAGAGTGTTCCATAGCCTCTTGAGACTTGTAGTTTTGCAGCAGCTGGAATGCAACCAGGAATTGAGGTGGTCTCTAGCTGACTTGCTGCAGCTTCTAATGCACACTGTGATAAGCTCATAGTGTCTAGTGAAATCAGAGTAAGCAATTATTGTACAGGAGAGGAGCATGTACAACTTCAAGACTGAAAGTAAGGCTGGAGTTCAGCTTTAAAACATACAGAACATCCCCCAAAGTGTCAGTATTAAAGATCTAATCACTGCTGTTTAGTGGGTGTGTCCTCCACTAAATGGGTTAAATGCTCATATGACTAGTGAGAAATAAGTGCAAATATCTTATTCCTCGCTCCCCTGGCAGGTGGTACTCTTCTCTGCAGCCTTTCTCAACCAGGGTGCCGTGGCACCCCGAGGTGCCTTTGTCAGTGGTGCTTTCAGATTTTTGCTAAAAAGTTTTTCACCCTATTTCTATTTCCCATAGCCAAATGAGCATTTCATTCATTTTGTAATAGGGACCCTGTTGCTTGGGTAAATTTCATAGCAGCTTGGAGTGCTACTTTTAATCATCTCAGCTAATCTATATACATTTCAAGGCCCACACCAGCACAAAAAACGCCATCTGGTAAACTCAGGCCTGCAGTTACCCAGTTACAGTGGTGCTTTTATTTCTATAGCTGGCCAGGTAAGCTTGTTGTTACCTTCAGCTAATAGTCCATACTTTTCCCTCTGCTAGTGGCAAGCAACCATACTGTTATTACAAATGTGGATTACAATGTCACATGGGGCTTCATTTATAAACCTTCTGCCTGTCATATAGTCTGGCGGATGCACTTTGTGTGGCACTAGCACCCCTAGACGAGTACAGAAAGTTTTATGGATGAAACACACGGTGTCAGTGAACAATTGTGCCTGCCATTTTCACTTGTTGAAAAGCACACAGTCAGGTATTTCTGCTGCAATAAAAGATATAAGCATTATGCTTTATTGACCATCATTTACCATATCATTTAATACTTGCATTCATTGTAAAAGCAATACTTACATAATTGCTCCCAAAGCAAGATTCCAGACTGAATGCAATCATCAAAAAAATGAAATTGTATTACAAACTCATTTAAAAACTATGCGGTTTTTGCTTTTATATCAATCTTCTAAATTAGGCATCACTCACAACTGATTGATCTTTTCAAGCTAAATTAGCAATATTATATTTCTTTCTGCTACAGTCAATTTACATGAAAGTATTTATCTAAACCTAACACGTATCTAAAAGCAAAACATGCAATGCAATGTAAGGGTACATGACTATCTTTAAAGTCATGTACCCTTACATTTTATGATTTGTGACTGATTTTGCATCAAAATAGCCTTTTCTCTCAATGAAAATGTTGTTCCCTGCCCTCAGACTGCAGTACTCTATGCCAGTACAGTAGCAACCATGCACTTCAGTACCAGTGTCCTCACACAGATTTGTATTGCAGAGAAAGAATGTTGGTGTGCCTGACTAGTCCTGTTAGCGAGTGCTAATTACAGGGTGCACTGGAGTATTGGACTGTTGTGCCTATTGGACTGTACAGTTATATTCAGACGCCAAGCACAAATGCTGTAAAAGGATAGTGAAGGTAAACACAGTGTCTATCTGACTCCAGGCACACTGCCAAATACACAGATGAAATACCTACTGTATATGATTTACCCGCAAAAGGATTTGTATTTCTGTTTATCCAGTCTTGAGATTTACACTGCTCCTCCCTGCAGCACAGTCCTGTCTAGCAGGAGAGAGGTCATGATCTTTCTTTGCTGCGGTTTCACGTACAGGACAATTCCCCACCCCTATTCTGACACTGGACAGAGAAGAGGCAGACTTACTATTTTATTTTTCTGGCACTCTGCTTTCTCCACTTGTTAGCATGCTTCTTGCACTGCAGCCCACCTAATTGACTCCCTGTGCTGTTTCTTCCTCCTCCTCTCTGAGCTTTGCTGTTCAGATTGTACAATAGACTGCTAGAGGCTGATACCAGGTCAAATGCAGGTACTTGTGCTGCATGCATTAAAAAATACTAATGTAATGATCTATTATTAATTATAGAGCGGCATTGGATTTGCACCGTTTATATCTGCCTGGAGTTAAACATTAAACAACTCTAGTTATTCAAAAAGTTAACCTTTGCAGTGGGGCTACCCCTGCTTTGCAAGGGTTTACTGCTCATTTTTTTTCTAGGGGCTGGAATACAGCAGAAATACTGACCTGATCCTCAGTCCTGAGGCAGTGAGTGCTCACCTCTCTCCCTCTCAGCTCCAACTGTGGTATGTCTTATTGTCCTCACATCTAATGCATGTGAATGGACTGCATTAGACGTGATGACGTCAGCGGGGCTTAGACGGCTGTAGCGCAAGGGAGAAGAGGGGACCAGTCTACTAGCCAGGCAGGATCAAGGACCAGGTAAGTATATATTTTTTTATTTGAGCCCCTAGACCAAAACAGCCAGTTAATCCTTGCAGTGCAGGGCTAGCCCCACTGCAAAAGTTAACTTTGTAGATCCCAGGAGTTCTTCTTTAAAGGAATCCTGTACTGGGAGAATTGTGGGGTCTGATATTGCTGAACTCCTTCTGAAAGACTAGTTGCCTGGCCTCCTCAATATGTTGTAAATATCTGACCTGGAACAAGCAAAATTGTATTTATGTACCTGTTTTTGGTCAGGGACTCAGAAAGCATGGAAACGTTTGGATCTGCATACCAGCCAGGCAACTAGCACAATCAATTGGAGACTTCTACAGTTGCCGCCATTTTTCTCAGTATAGGTTTCCGGTTTCCTTTGAGAACATTATGTGTGTACACTGAAAAACACAAAAGCAGAACAACTCTTTCCTGTTGCAACCACATTGAATGAAGTAAAACCCCAGAACTGATATAATTACAAACATGTTGTTTTTGTTATGCAAATGATACGTATCCATTGAGGTTTGTGTGGATGGCTTGGTTGGCTAACTCAATCATGTACTTAAGACTAAAACTGTTGTTTTTACTTAACCAGGATGTATGGTATATGAGAAGCTGGGGGAGCAAGTATTTGGCACACCAGGAAGGTTTTTAGTGTTTGGATCAACATCACTTCAGAATGTTGGTGGTAAGCACATGACTGATTCATATTTTTATATGCTTTTCATTTTTCCTAAATAACTACTACACCAGAACACAAAAGTTGCATTATAGGGATTATGTGCTAGAACGAAGAATATAGATTTCAATGCTATATGTGTAAATGTATGCTGTGTCGTGCAGACCGCGAGGTATACAATATTGTCTAACTTTGTTAAGCTTCAACTGCACAAAAAAGGAAGCAACAAAATGACAGTTGTTAGTTTTCTTAATAGAATTACTGGACAAGAAATCAGTGATATTTGAAACATTTTGTGGTAATTCTCTTATACTTCCACATATTTTTCTATAAATGTTAAAGGGGGTCAAAAACTAACAGGGTTATTCACAAAGCTGCCGCGAAGGCAGCCTAGTGAATAACCGAGCCGAAGTGAACAGAGCTGAACGACGTTTGGCTATTCACTCCAGCTCAGTATGGCTGATTTCAGCCGTACATCGGCTGCCTTTCGGGTAGCCGAACATGCTCTGCATGTTTGGCTGAGCCGAAGTGAGTGCATAGCCGAATGCCGCACGGCTATTCTGCTCGGTACCTCCGTGGTACTTAGCAGAATAGCAAATAAGTGAAAAGAGTGAAATAAAAAAAAAAAGGTTAAGAAATTATTTTAAAAATGATCCAAAATAGGAAAATTAAGAATAAAAGAAAAATATTTTAAATAAAAGGTGAAAAAAAGAAACAATTGGGCGGAGCTAGCAGTGACATAAGATCACGGCTGGCTCTGCCCAGCTGTCATGTGCGGGGAGGACGGCTGGCCTTCGGCAGGCCGTTCACCCTGCTTTGGCTGTTACTTCGGCTCAGTCGAGCCGCTCGGCCACCTTCGGCTGCTGTACGGCCTATTGTGAATAGCTCGTACAGCAGCCCTTTGGTTCGAATAAACCGAAGGGCTCCGTCGGCCGAAGAGAGTTGAAGGATCAGCCAAAGCTACGGCTGGATCCTTCAGGTCCTCAGTGAATAACCCCCTAAAACTAAATCTGTATTTTTATATTGAATTTCCATCCCGCTTCTGATAACTATATTGATGTAGAAATTTGTAAACTTATTGAAGATGCTGATAGGATGAACTTCCTCAATGCACTAACACAATTTCACTCAGCCCTGTCAATATGCACCTTCTTGTGTTGCAGCTCTTACAGAGCCTGCATTCTGAACTACAATTCAACGTCTGAACACTGTAACATTATAATTCTTTGCTGGAAGCAATGCATGATGGGATATGAAGTCTTGAGAAATCAAGATTGCATCACATCAGGGAGCAGGGAAAGTGATGCAAAGCACACTGGGAATCCAGGAAGTTGTTGAAAGTGAAGGGCAGACAAAAGATAGCACTCACTACATAAAAAAAATTAAAGTAAGCTTTGATTGCATTATCAAAAACAACTACAGTGTATTCCTATTACAATACTGATGTCATAAGAAGATAGCATAAGCTGTGACTTTAGAACTCATTTAACAAAACAGCTGTTATGCAGATGCAAACTTGTACACATGCTGAACTACTGGTAAAGATCTTTTCACACCATGTATTTCTACACCAGCCTAAGAACGAGGATTGTGTGCAGGGTCTGTAAGTTTGGAGTCTATCAGTGTCCTGTTGTCTGTTGCTCAAGCACTGATGAAGGGGGATTCCTGACCCCCGAAACACATTGGCTGTGCTTTGCCTTCCTGAATGCAATCTCCTGAGCTTAGTCAATGAACGTCTATGTAGGGTATGCAATGTATCTAACTCCAGGAACAAACATTTTATATATATTAGCTTTTCAGTCCTGTTAGCTGCATTAGATTTCCTTTTTTTCTCACCAGCAACACAATTCCAGTCCTAGGGTGAAAAAGGAATCAAACAAAGCTGGTAAATCTTGGCACATTTAGATGACACTGTCCTACATCCTATTTACTTGAGAGACTTGTACATGTTTGCAGAATGCAGCATGTTAATGCCAGCATATTTAAATGAGGATTGGACGTTATAAGCCTCACTTTCAGTCCATTGAATGTATTTCAAATGTGGATTTGACAATGTATCAAGACCATGCTTCATAGGAAGCAAAAGGGAAAACTTCAATTAAAAAAAAAACATTTGTCAGGTTTTTATTATGATCTGGTTCCTTTTTGGGGAGATTTCAGTTTACTTTCTGTCCTTATGGCAGGGTATTTCTGCTACCATTGGAGAGTTTTGGCTCATTTCCTGTCTCTGTGACCACAAAGAAAGAGAGTGGAAATCTCCACAATGGCTGCAGAAACAACAATAAAAACTTAACAGTGATTTAAAAAAAACCCATGACAAAAAAAATAAGTCTTCTAATGTAAAATGATTTGCATTATTGGCCAATCAATATTTTACTGCATTATAAATAGTACTCTTTAGAGTTGTTGTAAAGGTGGGCTATTGATGCCTTCTTCACCACTGGCAATTAAAGGCACGACTGCTCATAAATATGAGTAATGTATAACCATGAATATTATTTTTCTCTCTTTTACAGCAATGCTCAGCTATCTGTTTATCGTTAAGAATGAATTACCCAATGTCCTTAAGTATCTGATGGGAATAGAAGATATAACGTAAGTCAGTTTTTCGGATACTGTGCACATTTTTATATGTTTATATGAATTAAATGTAGGTTTTGGCTGCATTTACATCCTTTACCTTTCCCTTCCATATTTTTCAGACTGATGACAAATCATCAGTCTTAAAAATCTAGAACTTCTAGAAACAAAACTGCCTCATGCCAAGGAAGTTCCTGTTAAATGGATCCATAATGAATTATGATGCTCACCTGTTGCACCAAATCCAGTCAAATAACAAATAGTAATACGGGAACTAAAATACTTGTTAGTACTCCATTTGATGCAGATAGATGTACCAAATGTCCCTTCAGCAGTTACATGATTTCTTCTAAAAGAGCTTAGGACTGATGTTCAACAGTAGACCACATGATACTCTGATTGTATGCGTTGCTATCAAAAATCATTAAGAAGAAGAGGTCTCATGGACATTGAAGAAGTAAATTGTATTATCTTTCTTTCGTATTATTATTTAAATTGTATTATCTTTATTTTTGTATTATGCTACTTTGTTAACAAAGAAAACCACTCTGGTTCTAAAGTGGTACTAAAGGCAGGGTATTTTTTACCTTAATGCGCTCTCTGCATTAAGATAAAAAACCTTTCCACATTGCCCTGCCCT